CCACAACCACCACCACCACCACCACCCACACTTCAACCACCGCGGCAAATGCATTCCATTCATTATGCACCACATCGAGCACGCTCCCTGCGAATCCGCTGCCACATTGCCATTGATGCGGATGCGAGTGGGTGGACTTGTTTATTTCCCTGGTCCACTTTCCCATTTCTTGAAGGGTGGCTAAAAGGTATCGGGTTCAAGGTTCAATATCGCCACTTGAGCCGAGAACAATGGAATTTATTCCGCAGAAGTGGCTGCTGATCGAGGGGGAGTTGTACGTATAGGCTTAATGGGATACCAGCTAAATGGGTTACAAAAGTGGCTACTCATACCCAGCCCGTGTATCCATGTCCTACTAATTGCTTTTCCCTATAATTGGCATTTGCTATACAATATCCTGTGCAAAGAAATCTGAAAACTTAAACTTAACTTTTGAGGAAGTCCAATAGCTTGTGATTTAAGTTGAACAATGTTTTCAGTGCATAGATTAAACAATATTTACTTCCGTTTATTGGAAATGAATAACAATTAAAAAGGAGTATTCTGTAACTTTTGCACTAATTTGTGTTTGGTGAACTGCTAATTTCACTCTTTGGCCAAGTGCATCATTTGGAAGCAAAACAATGGCCCATCAGCTGAACGTAAATATTTGATCAACGCAATAATTAGCAGAAATTGCAGATTAATGCATATTTAATCAGAAGTTCACTAGTCACTGGTCGAAACTGTTGTCGAGCCAAGACAATGAAAATTGTTTTCATCTCTCTGGAAGCGCAGTGAAAGGAGAGCTCGAGTAAACTGGCAGGATGACTGCATGACTGCGGCCAAAATTCTTCTTCTGAGCTGCATACGTACTTAAAATAATAGCCGGGCCAAATTAATTGAGTTACATTATGCATTAGTGCGTCTCTGTAAGCCAAACCCCAAAGCTGCAGCAGCAACTATGCGTCAGTTGGCAAGTGAAGCCGAAATATTTCACAGCCATCCGTGCTGCTTGAATTGCCAAAATGCAATTGGAATTACAGCGGTCGCCACAGAGGGGTCACACAGATACACACCCACACACCCACACACACGCACACTCGGCACTAACTGACATGCTAAATATTGCATACATCTTGTGCATTGTGTCCGTGTGGCAAATAATTATGGCATTAATATTCCTATGCAAATATATGTGCACAGTGCTTTGTTCGCCGTATCTCGGCATCCGTGAGATACAATCCGCCTGTTTGGCTTCGGTGGCTGGCGGTCGAGAAGGGCATGTGTTCATTAATACAATTATGACCGCAGCAGGCGTGGGGCATAAACACGACTCAATCGCAAAGTGAAACCGTGTGGGAAACATATTTATACTCGAAAAAATTTCTTCTAAATACGAAATCCGTCTGAGCAAAGACCTAAGAAGCAATGCAACCCAGCAACTTCAGCTTACTAAAAAATGTGCTTATTTATATCTAAGAATGCCCATATATTTCTGCATATTTTTAATATTGTAGCTAGATGCCAATATATTTCTCCATGCTTTTAATATTGTACCTAGATATCACAGCAATACTTTCCCATTTCTAAATACATTTGCGGCCACCACAAAGAATTCAGGCTCCTTTGAACTTGCATCATAATCAAACGAAAGCACTACATTGTTTTTCCCTGTGCACGCATTATACGCTCGTTTTTTGGTGAAGTAAGCTCCATTAGTGAGTTTTGTTTAATCGCATCAGCCCGCCGAAATCCAAATCAACGCCAGCTGCAGCTGCAGCTGCAGCTTCCTCCGGGCAGGCCGAAATGTATAATCAAGCAGGTACAGACTGTTAATGGATCTAATACCCCATATCCCGTGTTCCTTATTCCCGGACTCCCCGCTCCAATGCAACAAAGAGCACCCAATGGCACCCCTGCTAAGCACAGATTTGGTTCGCTCTAATGAGCTCTGCGTGCAGCTTAAGGGCAACTGTAGCACGGCTGCTTCTATTTGCGGCACTTTGGCAATATGTGGCTAAAATTACTTGCAACTGCCGGCGGCAGGGTGCAGATACATCACCACCAGATGCATTTTAATTGGAATACCGAAACAGCAAGTAATAGCGCACATCGAAAAAACAACATAGTGTGCAAACAAAAAGGCGCCGACTGCCCAATTAGAAGCCTATTAGTGGTAACCACCACCCCAACACCAGCCTCTTCCAATCGGAACTGCTCCATTGTTGCTGGCAATTTGGCCAGGACGAAACATTGAGCGCCCAAGGCTAGCCAACAAATTATGCCAAATGGCTAATGAATAAATATCTGCAGCCAGCACACCCGTCCGCCTGATTGTCTGCATCCTCTCGGATGCACTAGAGAAAAATGGAATAGTGTCTTGGAAATATAATGGAGTACAAAATATTTGAAGCCAAACGAGTATTTAAAGCCTGCCAGGAATTGAATAAACATGAATATAGCACGGTATAACAAAAAATAGGTTGATTAAAATACGATAGCAGGCTGAAATTAATATCTACATTTTTCAATAGCATTTATAATAATGAGGAGTATGATTGTTGAGAATATTCGTGGCTCAAAATCAATGCAGTGCACTCATGTTTCCTGTTGGTAACAAGCTATTTTGCACATTTGCGATTTTTTCTTAATATGCAACCACTCTGATATAGGTTACAATGGGTAAACGATATTAAATTTTGTTTTTTCCCCCTCTTTGTTTATCCTCTAGTTAAAAAACTTATTTATCATTTTTATTTGCTGCCGCGTTGCTGGCGTTGAAGTTGCACTTATGAGAGAGCTTGGCGAAAAGCGCAAACACGGGCAAAAAGCGGCAAATGCAGTTTTGTATATCGCTCGCTGCCTGTGTAATTGTATCTGTGTGTACTTTGTGGCATGCCACATAAACTTGATGCTGCTGCTGTGCGATATTTTAGCATTGAGCAGCTCTCAATCCCCCAGCATCGCAGCCAGCGAACCCCTCGCTCTCGGGGATATTTAAATCCTTGTTCCTACGCAGGGATAGCTGTTACGCCGGCAAGGACTCCACTCAGTTGGCTTTTGTGTGCGCATTAATGCAACGACTCTCATGTTTATTCACACACAAATTTGCAGCGAATACAACGCACAGAAACTGCGGTGATAGCGGGACGCATTCGCAATCCCACACAGAAACCCGGACTCGGATACACTCGCACTTGGCTGGAGCAATCTGCTGGCAAATGCGCTTTACATTTTGCACACGCTAATACAATTTAATGGTCGCATTAATTTGGCGCATCTGTTGCATTTTAAAACACGCACACACAGCAACAGTGTGTACGAACACCCACACAGATACCAGACACACAGATGCACAGATGCGCAGATACAGATACACTTTCAAGGAGCGGCAGGCAACCGCAGGATACTTTGCTCACTTTGTTGGCGGCGGGGGAGGTTAAAGCATTTGCCAACTGCAAATAAAGTTGCGCTCAGCTAAATATTAATTCTAACCAAGTTAGGGGAACTACTTTAATGGCGGGGGCGTGGCAGCCGCACAACTGCTTAATCCTTAGCGCTGTGTAGTAGTCGGAATGAAGATTGAGATACATGCGCTTGGCAACAGACAAAAAAGCCTGATATATGCCACCAGCAGGCAATAACTGTTCCACATTTTCTTGTTTTCGCCAATGAACGCTTAAGTGGAAACTTTATGTTGGGGCACAAGAAAAATACCTCAGATAAAGGATCGAAATCATCTTAGATGGAAGCAAATACGAGTATGGATAAAACAAAGATCAAAAACTTTCGATTGAAATAGTTTAATTAGGTTTTTCTTTTTTACAAAAACTTCAACTTCTATTTGCATTAGTAACTCGACCGATGCAACACACGTAGCACAGCGTAGCTCTTCATTGGAATCGCAAATGCGTGGCAAGTTTGCTATTGCTGCCAATTAGGTTGCATTCTGTTTGTGCCAATGTTTGCATATTATTTCTGCCCAATTTGCATTGATGCCATATTGTCCATGTTCCCCTCATTCCTCCCCGTTCTCCATCTCCGTGTCGGTGTCAAATGCAGAAAATGTCAAAATTTAAATATTGAAAGTGACGCTGGCGGCAAAAACCCCTCGTGTTGCGGCCATCGCACTAAGCGGATAAGCGCTTGTTAAATTTTTAATGCGTTGCATAATTTTTAGTTCGGTGTGGATATGTTGCACAAAACATGTTCGTATATTTTAATTCGAGTGGCGGATGCGAAACGCAGCGTGAGTGCTGGCTGCATTTGAAATGAGCCGCATGTGGCGATGGCCGATTAAGCCCGGCTTAGAAGCTACACATTCCTCATTTCGCACTCGACAATGATCCATTTATTTGCACTGTCAGCGGGCGGAGGAGGTGGATGGGAATTTATATTAATTATAATTTCGCAGCCATGTCTTGCCATCAATTATCAGAGTTTGTCTTTTCTGCTCGGTGCATTTAAATTTTTTCCCCTGCAAAGTCCTTGATAAACATTTTTCAATTAATTTTTATTTGCTGCCGACGACATTTCTTTGTCCACACACGCGCATATATTTATGTATATATGTACATATGTATGTTGCAGCAGCAGCAACTTGACGGCAGCAACATCATCGCCTTTATGTGTTCCACGTATTTCTTTAACGGATTTCCACTTGTCTCACTTTTTGAAAAAAACTTGTCGAGATGGCACTCGCATTGTCAGGCCCACTCACACACAGGCATTCGCAGATAAGGCGAGGCAGACAGAAGGAAAATCTTACACGCTCGGGAATAAAGGAGAATGGGCAGCAACGGTGCGTGAAAAATCGACCTGGAGCTGGGAGGCGCTTGAGATGCGTTGGCTTAAATTGGGGCCTGATAAACGCGAAAGATACTCCAAGTGAAATGATATAAGTCATTTAAAAATATCAATTCAAGTCGTAAAAAGTGATCATTAACCTGTTTTTAAGATCAGGGTTATATTTCATGGAAATTTTGAAATCGAATTACCCCTGAGTAAGCTTTCTCAGAATCATATTTTGTCGTATAGCAACTGTACCGAGTCAAACACTACCATGTTTTCTCGCATCCTAAAACCAGGCCTGGTTTTATGTAGGAGTGTGACCACTACCGCACGCCTTCGTTACAAGGATCCCATTCATCAGATTTTCCTGGACAAGGTGCGTGAGTATCGGCTGAAGAGTCCCAAGGGAAAGCCCATAGATCCTGGTCCAGAATACGAGGCGGAACTGAAGGAAGCCCTTGAGCGCCTGGCTCTTCAGTACGGCGGCGGTGAGGGCGTGGATATGTTGGAGTTTCCCATATTCAAAATGCCCGATTTGGATATTGATCCTATTTCGATTCAGGATCTGTAAGTTGCTCCTCAATGTACAAAAGATTGAACTAAAATATAAATACTTCCCAAGACCTGAGAACAACCCAAAGCCAGAAAAAGCGGGTAAAGACAAGGAAGCAAAGGCCAAGGATAATAAAGCGGAAAAGAAAGGGAAAGGCACGGATGACAAGAAAGTTAATGAAACAAAGGGCAAGGATGAAAAGGACAAGAAAAAGTAGATCCTGACGGAAATAATCGTTTTACGCCTTTTTAAAATTTTTGCATAGTTTAATAGCTTTGCATTGCATTACAAATTATTAAATATTTATATTGCTACAAGTTCACTTTAAACGACTGCTTATTGGAGCTACCCGTTTGAAACTGTTCCAGGATATACCCAAAACAGAACGCAAAATATTTATTAAGCACATACATGCATAAGCAGCACTCACACACACATTCCCATGCTTTTACCATGTTAAGTAATTCCTTAAACAACACAACAGGTCGCCGCCATTCGCATGGCCTTGCCCCTCCCCTTGGTCCTTCGTCCTTTGGCGCCCCTGCACGCCCCATCCGACCCACTTCCATTTTTTCCGTGTAACTGACGCTGAGTGGCAGACACACAGATACACAGATACACAGATACTCACATAAGCAAATTGAATTTAATGCTTTCTGCTGTTGCTCTTGATAAGACGAAGGAAAGCGAGAGGCAGCGTGTGAAGGACGAGTGTGGGAGCGAGAAAAACAAATCAAGAGACGTCGCGAAGGAAATAAAAGCCAAACGCACAAATAAATACGCACAAGTACATAAATTTAAATTATTTTCGTGGCCTGGCCTCGCTTTCATTATGCTTTTTACTTTATTATGCCGCTCCGCTACGGTCGGCTTCAAGGATCCAAGGATCCAAGCATCCGGCATTTGACTACGGTCCAGACGTCCTGGCACACTCTGCATGCCACAAGAGTATCTCGCAGTGCGCTTGTATCTGCATCTATCTGCATGAATCTGTATCTCTGGTACCGTTGCTGTTAATCTGTTTCTGTATATGGCGCTGTGTGTCCTGTAGCTGTGGCATCGCATCTTCAGCTGTCTCTTAGCGAACTATGCGGCCGCATCGAGCCAGCAACTACACCAACACACCGAAGACGTCCTTGGTCCTTGTAAGACATGTTAACTGGGATTTGACAGCTCGTAAATAATATTTCGCTTGTTTGTTGGCTCGGCACAACGAGAGCAACGTCTTGCACAAGGTTGAAACAAGACAGTGGGCTGGGTTGGGGCTGTAATTCAACAGATTTCAATTTTCATCTAAGTCAATATAAGTATGATTCTAAAAAAACAAGATTAATTGATCTTCCAATTGAAGCTAAACTACTATTATATTTCAGTGCTTATGTTGTTTCTGAAATAATAAAGTAAACATAGATTAATTTCATTAATTTTGTATATGTCGGAATTTAATCATATTTATTTACATTTAATTACGTGTCGCACACTTTGCACCACTGTAACCTATTCGATGGCAGCCATGTGAAAACGAGAAACGCATTTCATTTTTAAGCTGCTCCTTCTTGGCTCTGCTTGTTAAACAGTCTTTTTACATGACATGTGTGGGCGGTGGTTGGTGGGTTCATCCGAGGAGTCAGATTCTGATTCGAATGAGATGCGGTGGCTGGTGGCTGGTTGCTGGCTGTCCTGGCATGTCCCGATTTTTGGGCCCAGGCCGCCACTCTCATTATGCGCACTCTCCTCGTTGCCGGCTTATTAAATTTTCATAAAGCACAGGCGCTCGTAAAAATTGAGCTCGGCCGCTTTTAAGCACAAGTGGATTAAGATTAAAGCTCCGAGGGAAACGACTTCAAAGGCGGACGACCCGTAATTAAAGCCATGAAAACTGTCCGCAATTCGATTGCCGAAAACTGAATTAAGCTGCGAGCTCGAGCGTCCAAGAAGTAAGAGAAGTTGGTAAGTTAGAGTGAGGCCAGGAGAACTGGAAACCACAGAAGGAATTGGGACTCCACCCACCGGATCCGCTCAACTGGAAGAAGATGATGGCGATGGCGATGGCGATGACGAGGAGGTGAGGCATATCTAAGGTCGCTTTCCCGCTTTCCCGCTTTTCCCAACCTCACACACACAGACACATGTTTGTGGCTCAGATATATGCGAGAATATAGACGTGGAAATATATATCTGGCCGCTGGCTGTGCTGAAAGTGAAGCATCTTGTGCAATGTAAACGAAACGTAGCCGATAAAAATAATACGAGAGGCAATTTCGATTTATTGACAGGTGCTCGACTTTATTGAAACGTTTAACTCGAAAACCGATGCATACATATAGATATATGTATGTATGTGTGTATGTAGTAAGTGAGCACATGCAAAATTGTGCAAAACGATAAAAATTATGTGAATTTCGTTGTGATTTACCGCTGTGGGCCGGGAGGTGGCTGGATTTTATGTGGCCAGATTTATGGCTCCTTCGCCTCGCACAGGATGTGCATTCGAGTTTTGGACAAATTTAATTACACATTTACCTTGTGCGTCTTGTGTGGATCAGCCACGCACTATTTGTCATTTTGCCCGGTACCCATAAATTCCGATGTGCATTTAATTTTGTCGAGTCGCACGTACGCATCAATGCCCGGGCATTATTTAATAATGAAAATTGAATAGTCCTAATTCAACGTGATGACAAAGTGGATCCAGGTGGATGCGAGTATATAAGTGTATATGGTGTGTGTGGGGGAGTGTGCAGGACACGTGCCACTTAAACACACACGCACTAACACAGGCTACACAGGATACACAGGACGCCCCTCCAATTGTGGTTTTCCTTTTGTCGCTTCCGTTTCCGCATAATTTTTGCGAGCGGAAAACTTGAGAGCGCTGCGCTAACAAAACATTTGTTAAAACGGAAGACGGCAACGCAGACAAAGGCGACGGTTTACCGGCAAGATAGAGCACTAAGACCCCCTTTAAGCTTACGTAATTTGGTCTCCCGAACTCCGGTCCAAGATACAGGGACTGCGAAATGCGGGCACGTACAGGCCAGGTGAGCAGAGGAGCAGAGGAGCAGGCGGGCACCAAAAATGCCCAAGTTCCACTTCATTTTTCCGGAGGCGAGGGCTCCACAAAAGGTTGCATGTGATTTGTGTCAGCGGCGGAGTCGCGCTCCAGGATACGTTCCAGACTATATATTATGCCGCCGGGCGACAGTTACAACAATAAAACATTTCGGATGCCTCCGCGCGTCCCGTGCCCCCCGCTATCCTTCTGCTTATCCTGCCACATCCACATCCACGCACCACGGCCAAAAGGGCTGAGCCTGAGCCTTGGCTCGTAATGAACGATGCCTGGCATTTTCTTGTTATTTTTTCATGCCGCAGCCGGCGGCGGACGACGGGCGACATTATCCTTGTAGTTAATGTGGGCGCCTTTTGCAGGCTGCGCACGCACTGCCGCCCACCTGCGGCCACAGTGGGGCAAGGATATTAATAGAACTGTTCACAATAAAATTGGCTCGTAAAAATCTCTTGACTATAAATTACAAGCTATTGGTGAATAATGAATGATGTTAGAAGCCTGCACAAGTATATGGGCACTCTTGCAGAGTTGTAATCCACTAATTCCACTGTTCATTTCAGCTGCAGGCTGATATCCCGAATGGCAGTATGCCTTATGGCGAAGGCAATGGCGCCGCAGTGTCGTTTATCCTTCATCAGAGCCGGCTTGCCGCGCCCACAGACTTGGCTTGCTGGTTGACTTGCAAATAACGCGTCACTCATACGCACCGTGCGCCTCAAACTGCAGGTGATGCCCACGGCGTGCGGAAGTGACAATGGGGACGCATTTAAAATTCATTAATTGAACGCATTTCCGGCTGGACGAATCCGATCTTCCAGCCTGCTGGCGCCTTATTACTTCATCCATTCGCATGCTGTAATTGTGGGCATTTGGGCATTCTGCCGCCCTTTTAATGCGATTTTTAAGGCTTCTTCGAGCCGAAAACTTTACTTCACGCTGCATAAAATAATTGAGTCTTCAAACAACGGACTGTGTCTGCGGCTTGGCTTCTCCCCAGGGAGACGATAGTGTGTGCAGTTCTTGTGTGTGTTGGGGAATCCTGTCTTCGTGGGCAACCGCACCATCAAAAACTTTTGCAGGCGGCTCCTCGAGTCCTGGCTGCAGCGTCTAATGCATTTTTCATGCCCAGTTTGAATGGCAGCCTCAGCGTCTGCTCTGATGCAATCGAATTAAAATTTATGACAAAACCATTAACAAAGTTGCCCCTCTTCCGCTCTTGCAACAGGGTCACATGCAAAACTTACTCGACTTTTTATGTAGTGCTTTCAGATTTAAGAGACTCTCGGTCTCAACGGCGGTTAAACTTTTACAAATTAATCGATAGTTGCAACGATTTAAGCGTCGACAGCAATTAGGTAATAAAAAATATGTGTATTTTGTGGGTATTTGCCTCTTCTAACTAAATGGATGCTTTGCTCGAGCATCAGTTGAAAGTAAACAGTTTGCTGATACGAATTTATGGCAGAAAGTATCTGAACGAAGCTGAGATACAAGTTTATACCAAGCCATCATACCAAGTGGAATGCTTAGGTATTTGAGTTGATACATTTATTCGCAGACAGCGAAATAACCAACTGCTGTGTTTCCTCCGCGTGGCCATAAATGTTTGATGGCTTTCGAGCCGGGCCCATTTTATGCTAGGTTCTATTTGCGCATACCACAGATGTCTGGCCAAGTGGCCGACAATGGCCTCCGAGGGCCAGAGATCTGGACCGGGGTTCCGAGTTCCCAGTTCCCAGTTCCTCGTTCCCAGTTCCTCGTTACCAGTTCCAAGTCCAAAGCAAACGGCTCGAGTGTGCCGGCATCTCAGACATCCCACGGTCTCAAGACGGCGACGCTGCGTGGGCCTGAGTCCTGCGACTGCCGGCCTGTTATCCTTGGCATCCTGCGAGTCTGGACGAAGCGATAAAACGCTTCACTGTTCACTTATTGGCTGGGCGTGAGGAATTTTTATATTAATTTATTGGTCTGGCTCTGGTGAAAGTCAGTGGGCCGGCAATCGGCTGGCTTTTAAATTATGAATCGAATCGGAACTGAAAGAAAACCTGTCGAACCAGCGACTTCCACGCTGCCAGATTTCTTTTTTTTTATTCATAAATTTTATTTTATACAATTTTTTTTTCGCAGTTTCATTCCTGCCGGATTCGGTTTTAATGGCTTTTTAAATGCCAACTGATAAATGGCCAGGCTGCATGACAAATGAGATTTCCGCTCCGGCTTGGGCGCAAAGTGTTC